ACTAACCTCCAACTCATTGAGTCTCTTGCCTCAGCCTCCCAGGTAACTGGGACTACAGACACCCACCACAATGCCCGCTAATTTTTGGTTGCAGCTGTCGTTGTTTGGCAGTCAGGGCTGGATTCGAACCCACCAGCTCAGGTATATGTGGCTGGTGCCTTAGCCGCTTGAGCCACAGGTGCGGAGCCCTCATCTTCTATTTTTTTAAAAAACAGTCTTATTTTATCGCCCTCAGTAGAGTGCTGTGGTGTCCATAGTTCACGGCAATCTCCAACTCTTTGGGCTTAGACAGTTCTCTTGCCTCAGCCTCCCAAGTAGCTGGGACTACAGGCACCCCACCACAACGCCCAGCTGTTTTTTTGTTGCAGTTTGGCTGGGGCTTGGTTTGAACCCACCACCCTCGGTATATGGGCTGGCGCCCTACTCACTGAGCCACAGGCACTGCCCATTTCATCTTGTATTTAAGTAAATTAGTACCTCCTCCCTATATCTCCTGAACTTAAAATAATTAGCAGAATAGGGACCCTTTTGAGCTGGGAGAATTTGTATCATGTCCTCTAGTTTTCTAGAAATGTAATTACTTGAAATAATGAACTAGGGGAAGTATTTCTTAAAATCCTATCTTGTGGATGGTTACAGTGGCTCACACTTGTAATCCTTAGCACTCTGGCATCCCAAAGTGGTTGGGTTGCTTGAATTCACAAGTTCAAGACCAGCCTGAGCAAGAGTGAGACCTTGTCTAAAAAAAGCCGGGCGTTGTGGCTCACTTGAGCCCAAGAGTTTGAGGTTGCTGAGAGCTATGACACCACAGCACTCCACCAGGGGTAACAAAGTAAGACTGTCTAAAAAAAAAAATTAAATAAGAGGCTGGGCTCAGTGGCTCTCATGGGAGGCTGAGGTGGGAGGATCCCTTGAGTGCAGGAGTTCCAAACCAGGCTGAGCAAGAGTGAGACCTTGCCTCTACTAAAAATAGAAAAACTAGTTGGGCATAGTAGCAAGCACCTGTAGTCACAGTTACTTGGGAGGCTAAGGCAAGAGGAGCCCAAGAGTTGGAGGTTACTATGAACTATGACATCACAGCACTCTGCCAAGGGTGACAAAGTGTGACTCTGTCTAAAAACAAATAAATAAAACCTTAAAGATTTAAGTTCCGGCTCGGCGCCTATAGCTCAACCGGC